TCCTGCGGGGCTGGGGGTTTCAGAGGCCTGGCCACAGGTTGCCCCTTGCTGGGGGGGGGTGTCCCCCTGCCCTGCCGGCTGGGGGTGAGGGGTGTCGGGCGGCCGGGCCGGGCCCAGTCGGGCCCCGAGCCCGGGGACCGGCGTCAGAGCAGGCCGGGGACCGGCGGGCCAGGCCCGGCCGGGCCTGCGGCCACCTCCGGGACCCACCGAGGTTGGGGTGGGGGCTGCGGAACCCCTCCTCCTCCGGTAGGGCTGAGGGTCAGGCCCCGGCCTCCCTCAGCTGCGAATCCACCCAGGCCAACCAAGAGGTAGCGACTGGGAGCTAGAGGCCGGGCCGCCTACCCGACCAGAAACAGCCAGGCAATGAACTTATGGGCGGTTGGACCGGGCCAGCGCCGTCGAAGCAGGCTGCTGGAGGGAGGGAGAGGGGGGAGGGAGGCCCATCTGTTTCCAGAGAGCCCAGGAATGTCGCCTTCCCGGGGAATTGCTGGGGTGCCATCCACCCAAGATGCCACCACACTGGGGCCGGAGCCGGCGGCCAAGGCCGGTGAGCTGCCTGTGTGAAGGTTTCTATCCGGGAAGCCGTGGCCGGCGTGGCGGCTGCCCCTGGCCTGGACCCTCCTGGAAGCCAGGCTCCAACAGACTGTGGCCCAGAGGCCTCCCCCTCCCCCCAGCTGTCTCTGGAGGTGCCTCCCACTGGGCAGACTGCTTGTTGTTCAAGCATAGATGCCCGGGAAGGGAGTTAGATGCGCTGCAGTGACTTGTGCTCCCCGGGGAGGAGGGGGCCCAGAGTGTCCCCGTGTCTCCCTGCCCGGGCATGGAGGGGGGGCTTCCGGGCCTCATCCAGGAGTGAGGAGGGCTGGGGAGTAATTATTATTTTGGCTTATGCAACGGAGAGGCAGGGTTCGTTATTACCCAAAGAGGAGGCGGAGCCTGGGCAGTTAATTATATAATGCTCCTGCCTGTCTGCCGTGCCCAGCCCGGGGCCCAGGTGGCCTTTTCTGTCTGGTTGTTTTCATGGAGCGGGCTGGAGTGCTTTGCTGACCCTGGGGTGCCAGGGGCCGCCAGGAGCAGACGGCCCTCCCTCCGTTCCAAGCGTGGGCCCGTGTGTGCACACGCAGGCCTGGCCAGGCCCCGGCAGCAGTTGTGGTGGCCGCAGTGGGTGGGCGAGCAGCCTGGTTCCCAGCTGGGCTCTTGGGGAGCTTGGAGCAGTTCTCGCGGGTGGGGGGAGGGGCTTTGCTAGACGGTCTGCAGAGCTACCTTCCAAAGGGGCTCCCGGCTGGAAGGTTCTTCATGGTGTGGTGTAGGCCAGTCCCCATGGGCTGTGAGGAGGGTGGGGCCGCACCCAGTCCTGCGCCCCTCCCCCAGATGGCTCCTGTGTCCCAGGCCCCGCCTGAGCAATCCTTCCCTCCAGTCAACAAATGTTTGAGCAGGAACTGTGACATGCAGCTGCAGGTGTTGTGATGGAGGTCCTGGCGCAGCCTCCCTCTCGGCGGCGCTCTGGCGAGGGAGCTGGGGTTGGGGCTGGTCCGGCATCCGGGAGCTGGGCTGTTCGGAGGAGGACACTTTCTGGATAAGGGCTCTGGGCTCCCCACCCAGACCCCAGCAGGCGGCTCCTTCAGCCTTCTGTCCTTGCCCCTCCTCTCTGGCTCCTCCGGTCCACTGTACAAGTGAGGCCAAGGGGCCAGGGCTCGTGTGGCTTGGTGGCAGGGCCCTCCCTCTGTCTGCCACACCCCCCTGGCTCCCACCACACCTGCTGGAAGGCAGCCCGGTTTGCCCAGGTCCTCACCAGGCTGGCTGCCCGCTTGGCTGGGGACACGGCACTTGGGAGACTTGAACTGGCCTTTCTGGACTGGGGTGGGGGTCAGGACCAGCATCCAGGAACAGGCCTCTGAGCACAGCCATAGCATCTTGTTAGCCCGCGAGCTCTTGGGAGCCTGGGCCCCTGGGCAGCCCTGCTGCAGACCAGACGGGGCAGCATCTGCTGGAGCAGGACAGAGCCTCAGCGCCCTGCCCACCTGTGGCAGGCAGCGGGGGCTGCGCCCTCCGGAGTGCGTGGTCCAGTGCCGGTCCAACCTTGTACAGAGAACTTGAGGTTGGCCTCTGCAGAGCTCCCCAACTTTAGTGCCGTTCCCAGTGCTGACTGGGGGAAACAGTGGTTGTCATGAATAATACAGGAGCAGCAAATGTATTCTGCATTTAGCTGGAGTTGGTATGGAATCCATTCCGACTCGGGACACTTGTGCCAAGTCCTCCTCCGGCTCACCCTCCCCCGGTGCGGGGCTCTGCCTGGTGAGGCCTGGGCCACGGGGCAGCAGGTGCACAGGCTTGCTGGGAATCCTGGCCCTTAGCGCTCTTTGTATTGTGACCTTGGGCAAGTTACTTGACCTCTCTGAGCTTCTTTTTCTTCACCTTTGCAAGGGGCTGCTGCTGCTGCTGCGTGGGCGTATCAACATCAAGTGCAATACAATATGCATGCTTCACTTTTTTTTTTTTGGTGTGGGTCCTAGAACTGATCTTAGGGCCTGGCCACTGGTCCCTTTGCTTTCCACTTGAGCCACAGCTCCACTTCTAGTTTTCTGGTGGTTAATTGGAGATAAGAGCCTCCTAGACTTTCCTGCCTAGGCTGGCATTGAACCAGGATCCTCAGATCTCAGTCTCCTGAGTAGTTAGGATTGTAGGTGTGGGTTGCTGGTGAGGGTCATCACCATTTTTATTATTATAGTTCATGTGTAGCCAGGCTTGCTAAGGGTGGCCGTGCAAGGGTCAGTAGCAGTACCAGGAGATTCTTGCTGTGTGCGAGGTTTGGGAGAATTCCCTGCTTCATTCTTACAGTGCTGGCGGCCTGCCTTCTCATTCCCATTCTCCATGTTGGGAAGCAGAGGCTTCCAGGCAGATGAGCTTTGGGTGGGGTGGGATTCACGGTTGGTTCCGGAGTCTGTGGGGCTCACCCCTGTAAATTTCCTGTGCAGAGATGCCTTCTGCTCCTCCATCTTCTCCCACATCCACTCCTCGCAGGGCTGCAGGCTGATGTACAGGCACATGTGTGCGGGCGTGGGGGGGGGATGGAGAGGGAGGAGGCCTCCCTGGCCAGCCCGCACCTGTGGTTCCGCTGACACCTGCTGGGTCCTTGTGGTTGGTTGCACAGGTAGCCGGCCTCCCTGGGTGCCAGGGACCAGAAGTTACCCCTCAGATAAGCGCTCCCACACCCTGGGAGAGATGACTCATCTGCCACCCAGGCCTCTCCCCCTCAAACACAGGTCCCGTTCACCAGTCCAGATTCCTCAACCTCCACAAATCACACACACACACCCACAGCCAGGATTCAGAGCCCCCTCCCCTTCCAGGCACACGCATGCGCGCGCGCGCACGCACACACACACACACACACACACACACACACACACACACACACACACCTGCCCGGAGACATTTTCCATCCTTCCCCCCCCCCAACAGCCAGGCGCGCATCCTGGCTTTGCTGCTCTCCGAGCCCCCCCCCCAACGTGGCGCTCTGATGGCAGGCAGAGGGGCCCCGTCTCTATTTTAAACAGAGTTCCGATACTAATGTCCCTCATGCAAACAACATTACCTACCCTCGGGCATGTTTTTGGTGCCCAGCTGTGACTGTGTGAAAAGTTCTCTTTTTAAGGAGTTGGGAGGAAGGGAGTCATCCATATGGATTTTACCCTAGGAGAAACCATTTCAGGACCAGAAAGAAACAAGCACTTAGCTCTTCTGAGATTTTTTCCCCCCCGGGCCCCTTAAGGGGCGTGGGGTTTGAAAGGCTTCCTAAGGGGGAGGGAGGGAGGGAGGGGGAGCAAATGCTTCATTCCTTGCAGGCTGCCACCACCAGTTGTAGGAACAAACACCAGTATAAGAGCAAGCGTTGGTGAAAGGCAGCCCTCCTCCTGGCGTGCTAGCACTGGGGCTGGTGAGGGCTGGGAGGGGTGAGGGCCGCTGCCCTCGTGGGGAAGGGGAGGAGCTGGGTTGTCACCGCTGGTGGCCCGCGGCTGGCACTGTCACTTGGTAAATAGCTGCACAGTGAGCGAGCTGTGTGTGAGCGGGCTGGGCCCCTCCGAGCCCTGTGAGTGTGACCATTAGCACAAGTGAGCCAAGGCCCAGCAGGGGGCTTCTTCCGGGCTCTGAGAGGAAGGCTCTGGGGAAGAGATGGTGTTGGGACAGGAACCCGTTTCCTTCCAGACTTTTCTCCTTCCTCAGTGTCGTATTCTCTGCAACTCTAAATGTAACTGGCTGTTGGCCATGAGCTGGTAATTCTGCATGTGTTTCAAGGACAGGTGTTTGGGTCTGTGAGCACAGCGTGTCTGTGTACATTGCCCACAGCACCCCCCCAGTTTGTATCCGCAGGGGGGAGGGGCCCAGGCCGAGCTGTGGACCTGGCCTTGGTTCTGAGGAGGCCCTGGTTGCTTCAGCACCTTGGAGAGCGCCTGCCAGACAGCCAGGCCCGTCTGGGCCCTGGCTCCCGGCTTCCCCGAGCCAGCCCAGGTGGGCGGCCCAGTGATCGCCTGGCCCTGGATTCCTGCACCCTTGGCCCCGGACTGAGCCTGGCCTCCTCTGTCGCAGGCCCAGCTCCATGCAACGCTCCACCGGCTCTCAGCCTTTTCTCCAAGCCCAGCACCAGCCGGGTGTGGCGCCACCTCCTGGCCACGCCCTTCCGG